AGTCGGTGGTCGATATTTGAGTTGTGGTCTGGAAATTGTGAAAACTGGCAGAAAGATAGGTTTTATCCCCAATACAGGCGGTTTCAGACCAGTATTAGGATTAAATCCGATGTTTATTCCAGTTTTGTCAATTTCTGACCCGGGGATTCTGAAATTTTGATTTTGAAATTTCAAGTTGTCACTTTGGCACATGTCGCATTCCGTAGTAATTGAAGAAGTTGTCGAAAGTCTTGTTTTCTGATTAGTGTTACTTGTTAGAAAGGGTATCTTATAAACCTCACCTCGAAACTTGGCCCTGAGTCCAAGCACTTTATTCACCGGATAAAACCCCGCCGCCGACAAAACTTCCTCACCCCCCCTGTTACACCTAATTACACGTTACAGGTATCATTACATTTAACCACAAAGGCACTTCGAATACAAAACTCTGGCAAAAATACACAAGCAATGTTCCGCAATCAGCCTGATACCCATCTGCACACATCTTATGTTGCCGTGATTCTCCACTAACGCGCAAATTGTCCTCTCATAGCGAGTTTACTCGTTGGCGATGTCAATCAACTACTACCACAATCACACTTTTGTTTGCAAAACTCATGATATCCCATCAACAACTGAATGATGTTTTTCAAGGCAACACCCACCACATGAGCCCATCATCAACTGTCTATTGTTTCATTCTTGGATATCAGATCTTAGAACATGTATAATCGACAATCAATCCACCTTTTCACTCAAGAACACACTGATGAAACAATCAAAACATCAAAAAAATGATCCGATTGAATTCCATGAAGACCCCTCTCCAACTCGCCAGAACCTCCTCTTCAACCACCGCTTCCAAATCACTTTGCTACCACCGATTCAATCAAATCTTACTCCGATCGCACCCGGCATCCCGTTATCAACTAATTCACCTCTATTCCTCATTTTGGCTTCTGATCATGTAAGTTTTTCCTCCACTTTCTCAGCTTCTACTGGTTATCTTATCTAACTTGTCTTGCATCAACTTTCTCTACCTTCTCACCAACTCAACTACCTCTCAATCCCTTTTAGAACCATCAAGTCAAATTTGATCTCAACTACAGTACTGTTAACTCTCTGGATCCTTCATTTGATCTAACTTAATCAAGTCCCTCTCGGCGAGCGAGGGCGAGCGAGCCCGCGCTCGCTGAGAGGGACTTAGTTAAGTTAGTCATCTGATATACTCTGATCAATCTACCACCTCCGCCATTCTTCAGCTTTAAATTTGGACTTCGATTTTGATCGACTTGAACTTTAGATCATTTGAGTAAGTTTTGAATTTAATTTTTCGTGATTCATTCATACTGATATCATCATATCCTTTCTTTCACCACTATCTCATATCTTCACTCTTTTAGATTTCGATTTTGGCTGTTATCTAAGTAAGTGAGTTTCTTCCTTTATACTTATCTTTTTTTCCTTTCTTTTTGATTCACTAGAGAACATGCGGGCGCGCCCGTCACTGATCAACAGGCAACACACTCCATAGCCAGCACCGGCCAGTGCACAACATGACTGCGCCGGCTCTCATCAATTCTATGTTATACACGATCTCAATTTAATTTCATTCAAAAAGTCGCACCTCTTATAGGCACCTGTATTTTAGGCACATTTTTGGAACAATGCATTTCAGACCTACTTGACCGAGTAATATAAGTCAATTACTTTAACGAACATTGTTCATTATTTCCACCGTACTAACCAGGTGGAAAAGGTTCGGGAAGCATTGGAATCCAGCTTCTATATCAGTAAAAAATTGAATCACACTGTCCAACTCATCTCTCCCCATGTCTTCCAACCATAAACGACTCACGTCCTCCGTATTGTCTGGCTCGCGAGAGGCCATTTCAACCAAAAAAACAAAGTCACCTAATCCCTTCACCGAAAGCCTAGTGCAAGATACTTCAGTTAGTTTTAGGCCTTCTAACTAATTTCGAAACGTAACTTACGACCTTAGCCTTTGGTTCCTAGTTTGGATCGTGCCGTCACATCCTAAGTGAAATGTGTTTAAATCAAATATCGCGCAAACACTCGTGCGGGATTTTTTAAGTCGATGTACCACACAACGGCTTCGTCCGAACATTTTGATTCTTAGTTCGACAACTTGACTCAAACCCAGATTATGGCTTGTACGACGGTTAAAGTAGCTCAAGATGCCTCGGCTCTCTTCTTCAGTCACCCCTTCAACTACTAACTTTTTGATGTCTGCGCCTGCCGGCGGATGCCGCGCCGTGTAATGTAGTAGTGCCAGAAAACCAGTCAAACCGTAGATGAGATGCCTTTGTCCAGAACCCTTTAGCCTAAGGACAAAGAAGTCAGTTTGAAAGCGCCATTACAAAGCCACATTTACTTTATTACTGACATCAACACTTGTTTTCTTCGTGCGGCCATGTACGTTTGATGATGAGTGTGGCGATTTCGAACTCCACCTCTAGGGCCAAACCGGATTCGGATGTTGCTTAACTTGATACGTTTGAGTTTTCTTATCATGTTGCTTGCTTTATTTTATTTTGTGGTAAGGAATATTCAGAGATAGAGACCAATGCGAGTGTGCTTTGATATTGTTTAGTTGGGATAATCAGTTCGCAGGAACAGTTAATTTTGTTAAGCAAATGAGGAGACGGTATTTATGATTTTGCTTTCTACTCTTACCCTACATTACATTACCAAAATTGTCTTCAATTGTTGCTATTTACTTAACTCGTCTAACAACATTGAATTAGTTTATCCATTCATTATTGTAATATATTAAACGTATTAAAAAAGCAGAATTTTGTACCTTTTGTTATGAATCGTGTTGCCTGCGATCATTTCCTCTGCTTTTCGTTTGCCCCAATCCCCAAGTAACCTGTTTTCCTTTGTACAGTTAAAAGCATCGTTCTTTCACCACCATGAAACCATGATAGTGTCCAATATGTGTCTGGAACACAATGCGTACTACCAATCGGCATACCCTCTTTGGAGATAGTGGTTCAAATTTCCATAAACAGCTTCAAGTATAGTTTTCTCAAAAGCACCAATCGGAGTTGTTTATGTCCTGAAATGGCAGATTCATTATGCAACTGGTTCATTTTTCAAATATAAGTATGATTTTTCTTATGCTCGTTTCTACCATATTTATATCCGACCTAAGTTAAAAAAAAGGTCACAAGAGAAGCCATCATCCCAAAAACACTTCTTTACTATACCCCACGCGATCACAACAGAACTTCATTCATTGCACAACAACCAACAAAGTTGACCAAATGTTGCCTACTGGACTTCCCGACTCAGTTACAGCTAGAATTCAAGATGACATTGAACAAAGTTAGTTCCTCCCCTCCACTCGATGTGAATACCATTGCTAATTCTGTTACCAGACGTTTCCCCTCAAGACAGGCCCCAAGTCTTACAGGGGTCGTGTGTTCACACCGATACCGGCACTTTATACCATTTTAGAGCTTATGTGCCTACGGTTGGCAAACCTCGCATTACGGTTTTGCGTACTGAGTTTCCCAAATCGACCTAAACTATGTTCAACTTAGAAATATATTTTTGAATTATTTTTTTCCGCTCTTTGTCTTGAATCGTTTCGAGTATGCCGCCTTATTTTCATTATACTCATCACCACCATGATGCAAGTTCCCTTTAAAATTATTCCGGCAAATTTGAAGTCCAGGCAAGCAGTTCTGACAGCAACTTTGTTCTTTGGTCGCTGCATTTCAATTCCACTCCCTTTAAACCAACATGATGATATTCGAGGAATTTATTCCTCTGGAAGTATCTAACAGGTGTTGCTTTCGTGAAAATGGGGATCAATTGTCAAATGTTGTGGCAGAAGTTTTCTCTCTCTTGAACGCCTATTTCTTTTAGTTTTTTAAAAAGGTCTATTATACCGTTGGTTGCAAAAAGATGTATACAAAGGGAGCACAACTATTATAATTCACATAGAAACTTATAATTCAAATCTTGTCGTTGTGAATACTCACTACAAACTGAAATCATGCTTACTTCTCCTTGTCACGCCAGTTCTTCACATGTTCAGCCTGCTCTAATTTTTTTTCTGGAAGCAGGACGGTCTGTTTCTGTGTTACTAAGTAGGTCAAGTTATGCACAGGCATTAATACCAAGTATCTAGCATTACAAAATGAGGTAGCCGAAAGTTTAACAACAGTGTGAGCATATAACCGTATTTCTCACAGCTTTGAATATGTACACTTCAGTTTTATTTCGCATTTGTTATACAAAGCTTTTCAAAGTTAAATCAACAAGACCAGCTCAGATCCATATACCATAATTATTAGTTATCCAGTTGAGACATTATCCGATGTGGGCCTGTTACAAATCAAAATGAGTCGGAAACTGTCATTCATATTGTGATTGATGTCTTTTATTTAATTAAAAACTCCGCAGATAAGTTAAGTACATACGTTTCAAATTGCCTACTCAATCTTCCAATGCACATTTCAATACTATGTTCTTCGTTATTGGCTGTGTGTTTGATGTTCCAATCGAAACCTGCATTTCCTCTGTCCTCTTGCATCTTGATAAGGCCACATACAACTGGCCGTGAGAAAAGATTGGGTTTGGTAAAAGCACACCAACCTTTTCCAAACTCTGACCTTGTGATTTATTTATCGACAGGCAGAAAGCTTCAGCAATCGGAAACTGCTTTCTGGTGAACTTTATTGGCAACGTTGCGTCCGGATCATGAATTAGGCGAATTTTTGGTAGCAGAAATTCTCTGTCCACGCCGTGGACCCGATATAATTTGACAGTTTAATACTTCCTCTTTGAAATCAATAATCAGTAGCCTTGTACCGTTACATAATCCATTGGCGACATTTAAGTTTCGTAGTAGAATGATGGGTAAGCCACGACACAAGGTGATTTTATGGTCCGGGAAATTTGGAAATTGCAAGCTATGAAGGTATTCGCCTCCAATTGGCTCGGAACATTCTTCATCAATCGTGTCTAAAGATGTTGAGATATGCGTTTCTCCTCCTATCTGTTCGCTTAAAAGACGATTAGCTTGTCGGACAGTTTTGTTGAGTGGAGTTATCAACATTCTTTGTGAATACTAGTCGCTTAGTTCTTCCCATTGATGAGTTCTAACTAATTTTACTAAGTCCTTATACAACCAATCGATGGTACGGGTATCAATTTCTACTCCGGGCGAGGTGATATTCACTGTGTATATGTTCTAGTTCAAGCAACGCTTCATCTGTGTCTTGCAAATCGCCCGAACCCAACTGGAGTAACCACTCAGAGTAATTTTGGGCTTCGTTGTTTTCATTGGATCCCTGGCCAAGTAATCTGACATTACGGGTGAGTTTCAATTTGTCTACTTGTTCCCAGAGAGGAATCGATTTAATTGATGCGTCGAATTGAGACCTTAAGCTACCACCCGGCACAATGGGCAGAGTTTGCCGAAAGTCTCCCGAAAAAATTATAGAGATACCTCCGAAAGGCCGCGAATCTTGACGTAGGTGGCGAAGACTTCGATCGACGCAGTTGATGTGGTCTTTATGTTGTGTGGCAATTTCGTCCCACACGATCAATTTTGCGTTTTTGATAGCCCTACTAAATTCGTCTCTGCCTGACAAGCTACATACTGATGTGGTGTTGCATTTGAAAGGTATTTTGAACGCAAAGTGGGCGGTTTTTCCGCTTAATAGAAGTTGCGCCGCCACACCGGAAGAAGCAACCGCAATCGTGCTCAGGCTTTTACTTTCGAAATCATGAAGTATTGTATTCAAGAGAAAGGTTTTGCCGGTACCTCCTGGGCCGTCAATGTAACATAGAACTTGTTGATTCAATTCCGACCCATTTACAACATGGTTAAATATGTTAAGTTGTTCCAGGTTTAACAAAGGGAGATGATTTTCAACAAACTCTTTATGCTGTCTTAATTCGATAGCCTTTTGACCTTCAATATTTTCCACAGCACGTACCAAGTTTGACAGTTCGGTTTCATCATATAAATTGAGCTGTAGAGATCTCCAATGTCCACCCATTTTTTCTACATCAATTTTTATCAAGTGTAAACCGTATATGAAGATGTCGTTTGATGTTATCTCCCCTTCGTACCCATTTTGACGCATCCGAAAGTCACAATCGTCAGTTAGGCTTCGCTTGTGGTTATCCCATAGCTTGCGGGGATCTGAAGGCGCATTATGGACCAAAATCAAGGCAAATAATTCACGTAAATATCGGCCAGTCATCCAAAAAGAAGCATCCTTCAGACATGAGTCGTAGTGCTTGTCCGATTCGAGCAAACCCAGCTCGTTCGCGGCATCGCGATAAGTGTTATGGACTATGCCGTTTACCGTCCTTAAATCTAGAAAGGATTTTGCACCCCGCACATGACCAAGTAGCGTTCGTAAGAAAAACCTTTCCCCTTCTTTAGGTCCTGCATGAGCCATCCTACTACCGCACTTGATATGATTGTTCCGCTTCGTCCATTTCTTTGAAGCCCATGAGAAGTAGTCAGGAACTTGATTGTACAACAAAGACCTCGCTTTTACATTATCCATTCCAATTGCATCCTCCCTGTTCAACTTGAAATACTCCGTTAATGTTGTTTTATTTGCATTACCCTGTGTAACTTGTTCTTCTGCATCACCATCATCCCAAAAGTATACATCCTGCTC